GGAGCCGTTGCCTTTCGGGAGCTTTAGAGACACGGCATTTTCTGAATTCGTTTGTTTATTTAATTTAAATTAATTTTGTTATTTTTTTAATTTGCAGGTAGGCTACCAGAGTGGCCCGGGGTCACTTGCCCGGCCGGGCTTAAATAAATAAATAAATAAGTATAAATAAAAATATTTTGGCATTTTTTTTTTTTTTTTTAATTTGGTAAAGAATTGCGATGTTACCCTGAGACAAAAGTTGTTCATTTTATTTTTCTGCATAACATAGTGTTTTTTTTCGGATTTTTCGGAGGTTTTTTTTTTTTTTTTTTTTGCTGGGACCTTCTCTGGTCCTTGCACGGGCTGGCCACCCGGGACCCGGGCGGCCCGGCTGGTAGCCCAGATTTGCAGTTAAAAAAACGAAAACAAAAAAAAGAAGTTCCAACTTCAACTGTTTTTATTCTGGAAATAATCGTTCGACTTGCTTGGATCGCATTAATCACTTTTTTGTTTTTTGCTTTTCTAATTTCGATTTAAAAAAAATACAAGGGCGAAATCCGACTGCCACGGGACTTGATTTAAAATGATCTTCATGTGCGGGTTTCTTTTTTTTTTATGTTAATTTCTCCCACGGTCTGTTATATAACTCTCAAGCTGCGGGGAAAAAGAAAGAAAAAGAAAAAAAAGCTCGCAAAGGACGAACGGTGCGCTATAGAGGAGAATTAAAACTAGGGTGCTGTACAAATGAAAGGTTTCCCTTTCTTTTTTTTTTTTCTTTTTTTTTTTAAAGCTATATTTGTTTTCTCAATTTCACCTCACATTGAGTTGTTTCTTTTTTCTCTTTTTTTTTTCTTTTTTTTTTCTCACTTTTTTGGCTGGTTCATGAACTCGACGCGGCTTTCCCTGACCGTGACGGAGGTTTTTCTTTTTGTTTTCCCTTTTGCTTCAAGTTTTTTTATTTGTGTTTTTTTTTTGCTGGTTGTCCTTTTCGATTTTTTTATTCATTCCACTCTTCCCTTCGTTTTCTCCATTTCTTCATCGACT